AATTAAACTCACTATTATACCTCGAATATTCCGATCTAGTTTCCAGAATCAACTTCTCATAAATTCAGCAATAAGATATGTTCAACTATCAGGGATAAAAAGTAATGAAGTATAAATTTAAAAAAGAACAAAAATAAAAGAAGAAGAAAAAAGTAGAGTATAAAAAATGAAAGAGAAAGAGAGAAGAATGACTTTGAAAAAACGTGGGAGTATACACAAGGATGAGTCACGTAACTCGTTAAAAATAAATCTTCAAAAAAATATGAAAAGAAAAAAACAAAAAAAAACATGAAATAATAATAAAATTCATAAAAATCAAATATACGTTATCTGTAAGATCATTATTTTCATAAAAGTGTCATCATTAATATTGGATATTTTTCTTTTTTGATTGGTAATATTATCAACGTAACCAATCACCATGTTGGTTCATTCGGTGTTCATGTATATATATGTATATATAGTTAAGTACATAAAGTAATATAGGAAGGATATCTTCTCCTTCGAATTTCCTTCGTTAATCTATATGCATTCGTAGTGCAAAGGTAAGCTCCTTCTATTGGTGATCAATGATGTTACAAAGCGACCTAGTTCGATCATCCCTTTGACTATTATTCCAAGAATAGGTGGGGAAGGTGAGTAAACCTGTTGGTTTCGATCTTAACTCTCGTCGAACAACTTACATTAGTCAAGAAAGTTAGGTTAGGTTAACACGATTGATCGAACTGTGTGTGCGTGTGTGTGTGTGTTCATTTTTTTCAAGTGAAAACTTCTTTAGAATAGGACTGATTTGAAACAAATGAAACGGCTATAAATTGATTTTTTTTTTTTTCTTAAACTGTTAAGATTCTTTGACATTGTTCTTATCAGAAGAAAAGAAGAAGAAAAAAAAAGAACAAAACAAAGTAAATAATAAAAGAAAAGAAAAATGTAGGATGAGCAGAAAAGAGGAGGAAGAGGAGGAGGAGGAGCAGAAGGAGGAGGAGAAGGAGAAGAACGAAACGATTAACGAAACTCATGAAACATGGAAACTGTAGCGAACTAGTTGAAGTAGATATCGAGTAGATATGTACGTGGATGGTGAGATGGGGTTAAAGGAGCTGAGAGGAAGATGGAGAGACCTAAAGATGGGAAGAGAAGTGAAGTGAAGAGAAGGAAGGGTAGAGAAGAGAATAGAATAGAATAGAAGAGAAGAGAAGAGAAGAGAAGAGAAGCATTGTCTGGGGAACGTGAACACTATTTGCTAGCAAAGTAGATTAGGTTGGTATTGATAGAGAAAGAGAGTGTGAGAGAGAAAGAGAAAGAGAGAAATAGTGGGTGAGATGAAGAGAAGGAAGTAAAGGTAAAGGTAGGAAGGTAGGAAGGAAGGAAGGAAGGAAGGAAGGATGTGTATAGGTAAATGTGTTAGTGTGTATAGATGTATGCGTAAGAGAGAGAATGAGAGAATGAAAGTGAGTGAGAGAGAGAGAGAATAGTTGTGTTCAGTACGAGAGAAGGGCCAATATAAAGAGAGAGAGAGGAGACAAGGAGAGATGGGGATATAGCAATAGAGTTTCGCTTACGAGACATATAACCGCGTTAGACGATGCTCTTTGTTGTATCAGTGCGCAATTGCCTTAAGTTCTGATCTTGTCCGATATTGATGTTCGAGAGGCCGTGGCAACCCCGATGGGCTACTAAGAGTTCTATTCTCTCCTTCCTATCGCTTCTCGATCGAGTCCAACCACTTTAGGATCTTCGGGGGAAGGCCTTTTCCCCTTTTCCCTATTCCCTTTTCTCTCTCTCTCTCTCTCTCTGTCTCTCTATCTCTGTCTCTGTCTCTTTTTCTATTTCTCTCTCATTTTTTTTCTCTTTCCATCTTTCACTCTCTTTAACCTTTATTTCCTTTTTTCTTTTTTCTTTTATTTTACCTCTTTTTTTTTTTATTATTTTGTTCTCTCTCTCTTTTTCATCCATCCCCAAAATTCACCCTCAAAATTCAATTGTACTTTGACGAGATTTATACAGCTATACAGAATGTTACAAAATAAAATGAGAAAGAAGTAAGAAAAAAATGATTGAGTATTTGTTTTATCGATAATTTAGTTAATATATGTGGATTGATTCAATTTGTTAATAAAGGAAATTACAAATGTCTATATATATAAAATTGTGTTGACATTAACAGTTTCGATATCGTTAATGTATCGTTTCAAAAAGATGTTTTTATTTGTTGTTGAAATATTTTTTAACGTCAAACAACAATAAAATAATCTCTTGATACCTTTGACATTTTCAAAAAATGTGAATGTAAATTTAAATGTAACGCAAATAGGTATACTTATCGTAAAAATCAATTGCTATGTAATTTCAAGTGTCAACAATCTTTAAATTATTGCATTAAATAAATAAACAAGCAAGCACCAATTTTATCATTCGTTTTGTTTTAAATTCATTTAATTGATGATTGATTTTATCAACTAATTTGTCGATTGTTTGATTCTTTAGATATCTAAAAAAAAAATAAATAAATAACATTATATTAATTAATTTAAGTATAACTTAAGTTACTATGTCCCACTATAGTGGCTTTCGTTTTAGCACTTTAGGAATCACTGGTTTACACGTATTCTCATTGAACTCTGCTGTTGTACAAAGAAACAATTCTACACAACATTCAGCCATGTCTAAGAGGTTAAGGATAAATTAGTTATTGAATTGTTCTTTGTTTAGTGTTCACCTTGAGTCATTTATTTTCTAATTGAATAAGCAACTGGAATAAACCAATCAATCAATCATTCAATCAATTTCTATTCTTGTATTTGTATCATCTCTTTTTCTCTTTCTCTTTCTTTTTCTTTTTTAATCAGCTGTAAAAAAAAGGAGCGGAACAAGAAGACCCTGTTTTTATTTCCTCGCTTTTTTTGTTTTTGTTTCTATTTTTCTGTCATATTTTTTTGTCAACGAGGTTAACACCACTTCCACTTCCCATAATTTTTGTTCTAATCAAAAATTTCTTTAAACAAAAAAATATAATGGAAGAAAATGAAATCCCATCTACATCTAATCGTCGAGTTTTACGTGAGTATCACGTTAAAATCATTGTTAACCTTTGCTTATCACACTTGGTCCAAAGTAACCAGACCTTCTTTGCAACTTGAATATCATTTTTCTCAATTGTTCAACTTTGGTAATGTTCTAAACATATTTAGATTTAATTTAAAGCTATAAAACCTATATAGTCTTTTGAAGTAAGTATTAAAGAAGTGTCAAAAACAATTTTGAAGTAAATCTATGCAATAGTTTTTTTTTTATAAAGATTTTTCTCGGCCGGGTCCAAAGAAACCAGACCTATTTTGCGACCTCATTATTCTCAATTGTTTAACTTTGGTAATGTTCTAAACATATTTACATTTAATTTAAAGCTATAAAACCTATATGGTCTTTTTAAGTAAGTATTAAAGAAGTGTCAAAAACAATTTTGAAGTAAATCTATGCAATAGTTTATTTTTTATCAAGGTTTTTATCGCCTGGGTCCAAAGGACCCGAGTGTGGTGAGCGTGTTACTTAAGGAAGGGTGGTTAACAAAGGTTAAGAATAAAAATGTTGTTAGAAGAAAAGCACACATTTGTTGCAATTTCATTTGATTTGTACAATTTCAGGAAACTTTATTGTATTGTTTAGCACGTTAAACTGCACTGAGAGAATGCGAACCTTAAGGCAACATTGGGTCACGTGTGTTTAGAAAACGATTTGAATATGTTATACAAACTAGTATATATGTTCTCATGGTAAAGTCAGTATCATGTTGTTTATGTTCAAAAGCGTGGAACTTTGTCACGTTTTCCTCTCGTCTATTAATATATAATTATTCTCTTTCTTTCTTTCTTTCTTTAAGGTTATATTTACTACATTATTACATTACTCGGCATACTTCAATTCGTTTACAATTGCTACATTCATACTATACCTTTTGTCTACACCAGTGCCATTCTGGAAGGTTTTTGAACTGTTATTTTCAGAAAACGCTGGACACTTTTAAACTACCTTCCATATTTAATAGTAAAAGTTTAGAATCATCGAATTGATGATGATTCATGAAATTCAACATTTTTACATCTTCCAGATATATTCTCGGATAACACTAATCGCTACAAGATGTCCTTTTATGCGGATTTGTCATCCTTAGAATCTCATCCTAAAAAGAAAAGAAGAATTAAAATTAGAAAATGGTTGCAAAGAGTATTGAATTATTCTAAATCGAAATATCGCAGGAAGCGTATTAAAAAACCTCGATCAATGTGGGGTGAGAATTGTTTAAACTAATATACACCATGTTCAAATTTATACTAATCATTTTAAAATATATATATCAATTTTATAGAACATACTAGGTTTGATAAATATTCGACGAAAACAACTTGTCCAAATTGTTTGTATTACATTGAAACCAATGTAAAACATTACAACACTCGTGTGACACATTTGATAGCTTTAACTTTATTACCAGTATGGTAAGATATTCATAAATTATTATAATATTTATAATAACAATAAACCCCCACCCTATTAAATTTGTCTTTATTTTATACAGTATATGCGCTTTGCCGTATTATTTTATCAACTTCAAAGATACCGTACACACTTGTCCAAGATGTGAAATTTATTTAGGAATCAAATTTTCTGAAAACAAATTTCCTTACACGATTGATCGTAAATAAAGATAATTGAATAACGATGTAAATCAAATCTAAGTTGAATTATAAATTGTTTGTATAATTGCATATAATTATATATATATATATATATATATTTAACATTGTATTTCTGTAATATCGTTATATACCGACGTATCAATTTTGTTAATTGTCGGTAACGTAGAAAGCTATTTACTAAAAATCAATTACCGATAAAACAGATTGATCTCTGTTTTACCATTGGAATGACTCAAATGATAACTCAAATATTTGTATAATTTAACCGAATTTACCTCTTTTTTTTTCTTGAACTATAAAACGTATAAAGAGTGGCGTTAGTGGATCCACCTTTAAACAGAAAATCGGTGTAACAAGAATATACTGAAACCTGCCAGTCATTCGATAATTTAAGCCGATTCTTTTGTGCTTAACGTTGTAATTAATGTTATAAAAAACTATTACAAATAAAATCAAATCAAACAAAATGGGATCTGTACGTGTAATCAACAATGAAAGTCAATTTTATAGTCAATTGACTGGTGCTGGTACGAAATTGGTCGTTGTAGATTATACAGCTACGTGGTAAGTTTTTTTATAGGTTAGAATTTTTTTTTTCCCCCTTTAACTCCATGTATTACAAATATTGCAATTTTTTAATATCTCTTTTTTTTTTTTAATTGTTATTTTTACCAATTACGACAATACTTTTATTTATAACAATGTGTAACATACATAACATTATAAAAAAAATTGATTGCATTTAAAGTTTCATTGACACATATGACTAATGTCAAAATATCATGAAAAAATATGAAATTTATTTGTAGGTGTGGACCATGTCAAAGAATGGCACCGGTATTTGAACAATATTCAGTTAAATATCCCAACGCTGTATTTCTCAAAGTAGACGTCGACAAATGTGCAGAAATTGCAGCTTCCCAAGGTGTCAGTGTAATGCCCACTTTTATTTTCTATCGCAACAGAACTAAATTGGGTTCCTGTCAAGGAGCTGATGCAGCTGGACTCGAATCGAAAATACAACAATATTATGGAAATGGTGATAACGAAGAATCTGAGAGTTCAGTTACTGGACATGTACGAAATAGCACTAATGCTTATTATCATATATTTGGAATGATATTACTTGCTGCAATACTCGTATATTGGAATAAGTATCAACCAATTCAATAAGAAAGTTGTGCGGTAACTTTCTTTTCTTCAATGAATTTTAACATTTCATTGTCAAACAAAGCATTTATTGGCTTTACAAACAAATATAGTTTTGATAAGTGGCAAGCGTTGATGATTTTTCAAGCCTTCCATTGAATCTTACATTTGATATTTTTAAAACATTCCGTATATTATTCTAGTATTACGTATTATTAATTTTATCATCTATCTTCTTCTTCTTTTTTTTTTTTTATCTTTTTTTTTTATTTTGATTATCATCAAACAAACATCTAAAACATAAACTAAAAATGAATTTAAAGTAATAATAATATATTGTACAAGTAGTTTTAACGATGTGTAATTAAAATAATTCTAATTACACAACATTAATGCAATAAAAGCTTCATTTCAAATAATATTATACGTCAATTATTAATTATCTTGTTTTTTTTGTTTGTTTTTTTATTGTACAATCCCATTTGATAGATTAATTTGATAAAAATGTCTTTAATTTGCAGATGGATTTAAATACATTCATTGCTAAAACGCAATGCGAATGTTTAAATGAATCGGACGATCACAACTTTGTTCAATGCTTAACAACCGACGATGGATATTTAGAGAGTGATTGCGATGAACAATTAATATTATCTATTACTTTTACACAAGCTGTTAAAGTACATTCCTTAAAAATCAAAGCACCAACAGATTCGGGACCAAAATATGTCAAGCTTTTTATCAATCAACCTAGAACTATAGATTTTGATATGGCAGACTCCAATACTAGTGTTCAAGATCTTACGTAAATATTTTTCATTTATTATACATATATAGATAGATAGATAAATAGATAATCTTTAATTAACCCAGCTTTACAGCCATGTGGTGTGTGTGACTTGGTTTACATTTTTGCTTTCTCCACTCATCCATCCACTCCTCTTCATTCATCCATCCCACTCATTCCTTATTGTTTCTCCTGCTTGCATCATCCCTTAGGCCTGTCTCTTCACTTCTTCTCCCTTTGTTATGTTCACTGCAAATCCTTCTTTGTTTCTCCACATATCTCAAGCATCCCTCCACTTGTTCGTTCATTTTCCTCTCTTCCTTCAGGTCTGTTCTCTCTAACTTTGTGCAACCTTCCATCAGGTGCCTCAGTGTCCCAGCCTCAACGCTGCATAGTCAACATCTCCTCTCATGCTCATCTAACCAATACTTATTGAACTCCTCTAGCTAGGTTTCCACATCTCGCCTTTGCTATTAATCTCTGGCTTTCTCTTCTCTCACACCTATTGAGGTATTCTAGTCTTGTTGCTGATCTTATCCTTGTATACTTCCTGTTGTACCTCGTTTCGTGTATCTTGTTGGTTTACAGTTGGTCTTGTGTTTCTTTGTCTTTTTCCTTCAGACTTACACTTATAATTGCACTTACATTTTTCTCATACTGCCTTCAATATTATTACATATATATATGTGAAATTTGTTTATAGATTATCGTCAAAAGATATCGAAGAAGGAAATCCAATTCCACTGCGTTACGTGAAATTTCAAAATGTACAGAATCTTCAAATATTTATAAAAACTAATCAAGCTGGAACTGATACTACTAGAATCGATCAATTGATTATATATGGATCACCAATTTCAACAACCAATATGGGTGAATTTAAAAGAGTAACTGGTAAAAAGGGAGAAAGTCATTAAAGTAATATTGAAAACAAAATGAATTCAAAAGAATTCTATTCTAAAATAATAATTGACCATGGTTACGTAATGATATAATAAATGTTAAATCTTAAATATAAAGATTGCATATTACAATTTACGTAATATTGTAATATGAGTAAAAAGTTTCTTCGTGTATTATAACTTTTGTTTTTTTCTTTTCTTTTCTTTTCCTACATATTCGTTCAAATACTGTATAAGATATATCCTGAGATATATACTGTAATATGTAAACCTAATTATACCAAGGTATAAACACATTATCATCCCATATTCTTATGAATATTAAATTACTTTGAAATATATTTTCCAAGGATTTTTCATTTCTTTGCTATTTGTGAAAAACACGATTGTTCGTAATAATGAAAAAAAAAAAATAATAATAATAATAATAAAACTATAAACTTACATACTGTATGCGCATTTTTTTTATTGTTTCATGTTAATTTAATCATATTTGGACCATGGTCAGTCAGCCTATATTGAAAAATTACGAAACAAAATTTCATGCATTTTGTTGTATTTATATATTGTATTTGTAAAAAAAAAAAAGAAAATAAAATAAAATCAACGTAGAAATTGTTCAATTAAATTATACAGTAAATAATATTTCCAAAAGTTTTCTATATCATTTATAAGAATTATAATTAAAATTGTGTTTATATACATACACATTATACGTACATAAATACATTTTTTTTTTTTTTTTGGCGTAACATCTTTCTTAATATATATAAATTACGTGTTACGTTGTTTGTCCGCAATAAACTCCTAAACTACTGAACCAATTTTAATCAAATTTTGCACACTTTGTGCAGTTTTATCCAACTTGAAAGATAGGATAGTTTATATCTCAATTTATAATCAAATTATTTGTTTATTAACAAAGAATCATGATTATCTCTGTTAGTTCGACGAGATTCTAACAGACAGCGGTATAAAGTAATTCGTTGACTTAAAGAGACGTCTGTATCGGACTGGATTGTGAGCCACAGTAACGCGTGGTTTAAATATAAAAATGTGTTCCAATTTGAAATGGAATATACAATAGAAAACCTTAATGTAACCTACTATATTACAAGAGAGAGAGAGAGAGAGAGAGAGAGAGAGAGACTTTTAAAAACTAATTAATTCTTATAAATATCTACAAACAAGTTTTGTGAATTCTCCAAAATCCTCCGCATCTGCAAGCACGTGTCCATCTTTGATCCCATGCTCTGATAGCAGCTGTTCTTGTCATGTTTTGAACTTGAACTTTACCACCACATCTAAAAGTATATATATTTACACATACATGATGTATATATATATACTTTTATATTGTATACACATTCAAATTGTACATGCAATTTTTAACAAAATACCTTGTACACTGTTTAACAAGAAGCGGTTGTTTTCCAAGATATAAATGTCGAATGGTGTCAACTACTTGTCCACTATGCATACATCCCTCCACTGGATTTAATTCAGGTGTATATAATAATTGTTCAGGTTCTATACCATATTCCAACTAAATTCAATGTAATAGAATTATTTTCATATTTATACAAAAATATATATATATATATATATATATATATATATATATATTTATCCATAATTATAAAAGTGGTTTATGTCAAAATTAANAAAAAAAAAAAAACAAAATGAATTTATCAGTAATTCCACGTCACAAATTATTTTCAATTAAATTAAATTGTTTGTCCGCAATGGACTCCTAAACTAATGAACCGATTTTAATCAAATTTTACACACTGTGTGCACTTTCAACCAACTTGAAAGATAGGATAGTTTATATCTTAATTTATTACGAATTATTTGTTTATTAACAAAGTATCAAGCTGATTGTGAGCCACAGCAACGCGTGGCAGGGCACCCCTAGTTTAATATAATTTTAACGTTATTGTTAAATCGTAATTGTTATTTCAATATTACTTCATATTAATTTAGTATTCAAATGTAATCCTTTGAATATCTTGAAAAAAAAAAACAGATGACTTACAATTAGACCACTTTTATAATTATAAACTTATTAAGAAAAAAAAAAAAGGTTAATTTTTAATTACTTGCAAAGGAAGACTTTGATAAAAAACAACTGGCGATGTTAAAGCTGTAATACTACTGCCTTGATGTAACTGAGGTATCATTATTTGATTTGGTAACAAACAACAATCATCTGAAATATAACAAATCATTGAAATAATACTGTTAATTCTAACTTATTTATATATCTATTATAGATTAATATTATTTACTTATTTACAATCCAAAATTATCGATAAATATACCACTCCTATAATCATTATCTTTATCTAAATATATAAAAAATACGTGTCACGTTGTTTGTCCGCAATGGACTCCCAAACTACTGAACCAATTTAAATAAAATTTTGCACATTGTGTGCAGTTTCATCCAACTTGAAAGATAAAATAGTTTATATCTTAATTTATTGCGAATTATTTGTTTATTAACAAAGTATCGGACTGATTGTGAGCCACAGCAATGCGTGGCGGGGCAGCACCCCTAGTATTTGTATACTTTCTTTTATATTTTTTTTATTATTATATTCTAAATAATTCTAATAAATTTAATCTTGTTTATATATATATAAAAAGAAACAAACTTAAACTAAAATTAATTATTAATCTACATTTTATATATTTTTAATTTTTATTCGCATCATCTTTCTCGATAGTTTTAATTTCTAATACGGGTAATTCCGAGTTACTATCATTCATTTTAACTGTACAAAGATCTAAACTTTCTTTTTTATTATCAGATTTAATAGTTTTATCATCAACTTCTATAAATACTTCAGTTATTTCATGTTTCGGACTTTCCACTTCGGCAATAAAATATTCCGATTTTCTTTGAGCTTTATTTTCATCATTTTCTTTATCATCTTTTTTATTATCATTAGAATTATTATTTGATTTATTGTCAACAGAATCAATCGTAGATGATGGTATTGATGAATTTTCTGGAAAAAATCTCGAATGTCTTTTGTTTAAATCATCCTTATTATTATTATCTTTATTTTTCTCAGCTTGCTCTGCCTGACGTATTAAATCAATAAAAAATAAATCTCTCGGAGACATTGGTGTTTTTGGTGATGATAAAATATTTGTAGTAGTATCTTCTTCAAATGGAGTTACAGTAACTAATGTCAAATAATCTTTCATCGAATTTTTATCAACGTCATTAGTAGTATCTCGTATATCATCGTTCATTTTTAATTCCTTATCATTATTTGTTTTCATATTATTTGAATGAATATTGTCAATGTTGTTTCTTGATTCTCTATGAATTACCAAAGGTGGTAGATCATTTTTTCTTTTAGAATTTTTTCGAATAACACCACCATCTACATTAGAATCATTAACATTTTTCTCATCACGATCTTTATTATCTAATAACGATGATTCAATATCAATGTCTGTTTTATCATTTTTTTTATTCACATTATCTGTCGTTGATTGAACATTTTCACTCATTAAATAAGTATGATTATTTGTATCATCCGAACCATACGATCTTCTTTTTACATTTGCATTGTGTTTTACATTTTTCTTCATACATATCCAAATATATACGAGCAATGTTACAATTAAAATCCAAATAATTAAAGCTACTATCCAAAATAAAATAGGCCAGTATTTAGGCCAATCATATAGAATATAAGATGAATAACACAAAGTCCATATCAATGGACACATGATAAACCAAAATCCTATAAATATGCAACACATAATTATCAAAAAAGATGATATTCCAAATGGTCTTAAACATGATCGTACAATTTTTTTAGATCCTCCTTCACTTTCTCTCGATATCATTTTATTTTCATTCAATGCCAATGAATTTTTGTGTTTAATCGCAAGTTTATTGGCCATTGTATATATGAACAAATTTAATTATTATATAACTCAACAAATAAACAAAATCACACCGTTGTTTTACATTAACAATTATACGAAAAAATATATTTTTTTTTCATTAATATTTTTATACGTATTAAACGATCACTTGAATTTATATGCACTGAATCAAGAAACTTTCCTTTAGGTTTTACATATAAATGAGTCAGGAAGTGGTATCTTTATCTTACTTCCTATACAGACTAAATATATCTTTGATAAAAAGAAATAGTACAGAGCAACTTACATATACATGTATAAAATACTTTCTTAATTATATTGTAATAAATACGCAACATAATATCTAATAATACAATCTTTTCATATAATAATTAAAATTGAAATGATATGAAATATAAAACTTACCTATCAAACCGTCATCTATTTGTTGTTGTGTTTCACCATTAGGTTGTACAAGTTTGGACAGTAATCGAAATAATAATGCCAAGACATCGAGATTATCCGCACTGCGTAAAAATACTGGCAAACACAATGGACGAAGAAGACCCCAAATTCGTATGATGACCAATAATTCTCTTATTGTGTTAAGTGCCTTATGATCTTTGAGTAATTCGTACTGCATTTGAAACAAAATATAAGAAGAAGAAAAAAATGATACTTATATGTAGAAATGAAGACATTTTTCAAATAAATAACAAAAAGATAAATAGATAAATAAATATACTAACACCGCCACTTTTCATTTGCATTCGTTGTTCAGGAAGTCGTGCTAAAAGATTTAACGCTAAATCTGCAACCCATTGAATTAATTGTTGTAAAGATTGCAGGGTGCTCGGTTCAACTGTAAATTCTTTCGGATCAAGATGTAGTAGTACCTTAAATGATAGAATATATTATTTCATTAATTCAAATATTATCAAATTTATAATATAATGATGAGAAAACAACATACTTTATCGACATCACTAATAGGTTCTGTAATTACTGCAGCTAAACTTTCAGCAGGTCCTTTATCATGAGATATTAAATCCGATGGTCTTAACAGTGATTTAAAAGCTGTTGCCACTGAATGTACCATAAGTAAGGAAGATAAATCAGCAGCTTTGTTTTGACCAGATACTATCATTCTATAAATAAATATTAATAGAATTCATTTGTTTTTCTGTCATACTATATTTGATTGATATATTTTATAATTTAATATATATACCTATACAAAGATGTTTTAATAGAGAGAAATTGCACATAAAGGTACTGTTGTATGGGTTGTGTTTGTCTCGTATAAGAAGCATCTAATCGTTCACACAATGTTTCTATCATTGAACCTCTTAAACATAAAAGTACATCCAACCAATCTAAACCAGTAACTAAACAATATTCCAATAATGTACAAGCATAACCAAGTGTTAATGATGATCCTAAAAGTATAAATATTATAATAAAAATTACATATCATATATTTGAACAATAATGAACTTTTAAACAAATAATATTGGAAACATACCTCCGTCAGGTAAAAGTTTGTATAAATATAAACTCCCATAATTATCGCATGCCAATAGAACACATCCAAGCCATGAAATATCCATGTGAGCTAAGGATGTTGAACTTTTGAAATATTTATTAGTAGGTTCATCTTGTCTCCATGCCATATTTAACGATGAATATGATACTTCTTTCAAACAATCACGATTGAGACAATGAATTGAAGAATCCGCTAATGCAACTATAACATAACTCGGTGGAGGTAAAGTTGTAATGATAGGCAATTTGGTAGTAGTTATCGCAGTAACCGGTGATTGACAACGATATTGTGACTGATGTTGCCAAACCTATAAAAAAAAATATTTAATATTTTAATTTGTATTTTTGTTTATATATCTATAATTAATCATTAGGATAAATGTATGCATCTACGTACCACCGTTTTAAATGGTTCCAAAGTCTTTGGTTGAAATAACTTATGAACCGGTTGTGATTTCTCCCTTAATTCCCAAACTTCTACGAAACCACCATTTTCACTATTTGCTGCAACTACTAAAGAATCTGCATCTTCTCTTACAACAAACTTAAGATGCGTAACATTAGTACCTAAAAAAAAAGTATAATAATAATTATTAATAATTAATTCATATATAGATTAATCAACAAATCTCAATATATTAAACTTACAAGTATTATCTTTAGGTGCTCCATCTTGTAAAAAAAAGCTTGGCAATGCTTGTGATGTAATTGTACATTTCTCATCAGTTTTACGTACCAATACTCTGTAACATCTAATTGGTAAGCAAATACTGCCACTGCTAACAGCTACCAAAAAATGTCCATCTGTAAGAATATAAAAACAATATTTTATAAATTATATATATAGAATTATTTAAATATTGTTAGAAAAAGAGATATTAATAAATATACATACTTTTGCCATAACAAAGATCAACAGATGTTATTCTATGCCGAGTACTGCCTAAACTTTCGGTAGAGGAACATATAGGATTTTGAAAGTCTTTCGTAATCATTACAGCACCAACCATTCCTGTTGTTGAAACTACTAATACACCTTCAGCTGCTCTTCCACCAAATTGTCTTACAGAAGGAGCGAAAGGTAAATGACTGAACTTCTCGCTATAATGAATACTATCTTTCTTTTCAGCTACTAAACCAGTCTATCAAAATGATAAAATATATAATAAATACCTAGGATTATATTCTTAATAATTTATATATTATTTATCACGTGTAAAACCTTTTTTCCATTGTGAAACCAAGCTGCGCCTAATATGTGTTCACCAACAAAACATGTGCAACCTATTAATGTCCAATCGTTGAGAACGTGGTCTTTGAACATCCACAATTGAACGTTTCCAATTGAATTAGCAACGACAAGTTTGTCACCAGGTAAATTCCATTCTAATGCTGTAATTGAATGCTTACTGGACAATACTCTAAAACAAAAGAGAAAACAATTAGAATGAATAATATACAATGTAATTTTGATCATAAAACGCATTTTGATTTTTATTCAACTTACTTGTGAGCGTGCCATGGCATATTTAAATCAACAACGTAAACATGAGAACCCCATGTTTTACCATTGTTATCATCTAATTCTGTAACTGTCGTAAATGCAGCAATATTACGACAAGACAATGTACATAATGATTGTCCATTGTAAAGACTAAAAATTCAAATCAAAGTAAAATCAAATGATAATATCATAAAAATGTTTATATAATTATTAACAATTGATAATTTAAATATACATACCTTTCTTGATTAGAGAATGATTTAGAGAATGCTTTTCTATTGACGGTATAAAGCAATTCCATTTTTTAATGAAAGATAAAATGTTCCTAACCACTAATTATATATATGTATATATAGGTATATTATTTATAAATCAAAATGATAGGAATGTAAAAAAATTATATATACTATTGATAAATAAATAAAGTTACATAATTATAATTAATTAAACAATTAATAATACGATAAGTATTAAAAAATAACATAAACGTTTGTAAAACATTCAACGATGTGTCACGTTAACCTCATCACGCGTATAATGTCACAATCGACAAATCGTCGAATGGTCGATAATCGACCAATTAGCGTTCGATATAAAAGAACGAGTTTGAAAATTCGTAATTTAATTTTGATTTCGCTTTCGTTTCATTTTTTCTTTTATATTTTATATATTATATATTAAAAACTTTACAAATATTAATATAAATATATTTCTTTTTTTTATAAATATAATAAATAATTAATCATTATTTGAATAAATCAAATCGCGCGAAATTCAAATATTAAAATGTCATTGGTTAAATTTGAGCGCGTGATTTTAAATAAACAAATCAACGAAGATTTAAATATTGTGTAGTATATCGTAGTATATAAAAATAAAAAATAGAATGAAATAGAATATTTATAATTAGAAATAAATAGTTTTATTTATATAACACTGCAACACACACATAACGAAAGTTTCAAAAATGAGAGAGAGAGGGAGAGAGAAAAAGAGAGAGAGAGAGAGAGAGAGAGAAACACGGAGTATTGCGATTTATTGTTGTTTATCAACTATCGAAAAATCTCGATTGTGAAATTGTTAACTTCGTCTGACGTTTCACACCCCCCCCCCTCACCTGTCAAAACAATTTCCCGTCATTTATATCGAAAAGTTAATAAATCAAATTTACAGAATAATTTTACAAAATTAAAAGAAAAATACATTAACGGTCATTTAAAGAAATTCTATTTTTAAAAAATTGCACGGAAATATAACCTATAGATCATTTCCGTTACCTTCCTATCATTAGACAGACCGAAGCCATGATCTTTTTCAGTTCACTTGACATAGCACGATTTTATACACGTATATTATCATTTTTCAATTAAATTAATATTTCATTATAATTAATCTGTGTGTGTGTGTGTGTGGTTTTTTTTATCCCTTGCATAAAGTATACAAATTGTAGTGTATTTTATTATTTTCACGTACAGAAGAAAAAACGTAATTGGAAATGATCACTCTTCAGTCACATAATCAGGTTTGTACCATTTTTTTATTTGAATGATGTAAACTTTTTCTGTTTTTTTTTTTTTTTTATTAATTTATTATCTTACAGTTATTTTTCTTGTTCTCTTTTTCTTTCGTATGTTTTATTAAAAAATATATATAAAAATAAATAGTTTCTAACCTTAAATTATTGGAAACAGTGTCATTGTAGATGTCATTCATACGTTTTTTATCCTATAACCTATCTTATGAAATGTTTGTTATTTTTATTAGTAAAAAACAATGTTTTTGATTATTTTGATTGTTTTTCTTGTTAATTTTATTCTATTAAAAATTATCTTTGTTTACTAATTTAATAAAACAACATGTATATACAAATTCTATAATATTTGAAATACATTTAAATGCAATGAAAATATATATGAGATTTTTTTTTCTTTTTAAATATACAATTTGTATAGGTGCTCTTCCATCTGACACAATTAACATCAAGCATTAATCCCAGATTTGTACCATTCGTTGTAAAAGAAGAGAAAAAAAGCAAACCACCTATTCATAGGAATGAAGATCTTTGTTTAGACAGTTTCGTCGAGGTAATTTTTCTAAACATATTGTTATATTTTGATCACATCGTTCAATATGGTGATAATCATTTATTTATATATTTATAGGTAGCAAAAAATTGTCAAAATTTGCCAATTCTCAAATTAAATGTCAACAACATTGGAAATATCTGTGGAACGAAAAATGATAATTCGTGGTTAATATTGGATAATATTTTTTATAAAACGTCTAAGAAGAAATCATTAAGAATAGATTCCAAATGGAATGTGTCATATAAATCAGGAAGTAATTTTACTGAAAATAAAAGAAAATTTCCATGCTCGGAACTTACACAATCTATGATTTTACCAACAATATGTTTATCATTTAAAAAACAATATAAACCATTTCATAATGTGTGGAATATAATACCATCAGATTATAATGTACAAGTACGTTCTTTTAAAACAGAACGTGACATAAAAGTAACGTATAAAAGGAATCCATCGGTATTCACTAGGATGAAGGAATGGTTTGATTCGTTTGGTCTATCTTCGGTATAATATATTTTATTTATTTATTATTATTTATTTATTTTTCTTTTTCAAAATTATTCTAATAAATATATTCATTTGATTTATTTAGGAGTCTCATAAGACGTCGTTTCCTAGCGATCTCAAACCACAGGATATAGAATTTATGAACAAGATTTTTGCAAATATGAACGATGTTACTGGTGAAACGAAAAAATCCAAAGTAGCTTTTGCTGAGGGATATGCTTTAGGTTTACAAGCAAAAGTTAAAAATCGCAAGGGATGGTTAAAATTTATTAATTGGTTGTCTATAGCATTGTTGGTGCTCATCATATGTTTCCCTTGTATGCACATAATAGATTTATCATTTTCTTAAATCTTTTGTAAAAATCTATTAATATATATTTTATTGTATTAATTTCACATAGTTGCCAACCTAGGAAGTGTATTTAGATTTTCATTTAGTAACAAAAGTGAAATTGATCCAGAAGAAATTCATTTTACGTTCGATGATATCAAAGGAGTGAGTAATTGCAATGTTATTTATAAAGAACAAATTTTTAATTGATTTTTACTATCTTAAACACAATTATTTGCTTATTTAAACGTACAGGTTGAGGAAGCTAAGCAAGAATTGAAAGATATAGTGGAATTTCTAAGAGATCCCGAAAGATTTACTTCATTGGGTGCAAAATTACCAAAAGGTGTATTATTGGTAGGTCAACCGGGAACTGGTAAAACGATATTAGCACGTGCAGTAGCTGGCGAAGCTGGCGTACCATTTTTCCATGCAGCTGGACCTGAATTTGATGAAATTTTAGTAGGACAAGGTGCACGTAGAGTGAGAGATTTATTCAGTATGTGTTATCAATGAAAAACAAATATCTATAATATATCTTAATAAAACAACAGTTTGGTTTTTTTTTTTCACATTTATATTATATCCTTTACAGAAACAGCCAAGGAAAAAGCACCATGTGTGATCTTTATCGATGAAATTGATTCTATTGGTGCAACGAGAACACCTTCGGTTCTTCATCCATATGCAAATCAAACTATTAATCAATTACTTTCAGAAATGGATGGGTAAATTTCTTATTAATTTTTCTGTTCTTTTAATAATTCTATAAAATTCTATATGAACTCCTCGTATATAATTTTGTTAACAAATTTTGTAGATTTCATCGAAATGAAGGAGTCATCGTATTAGGTGCTACAAATAGAAGAGATGATTTAGACAAAGCATTATTGAGACCTGGTCGTTTCGACGTTGAAGTTAACGTTCGAATACCAGATTATACAGGACGAAAGGAAATCTTAGAATTATACTTAGCAAAAATTATGACTCGTGATATTGATGTAGATTACTTAGCAAGAGGCACAACTGGTTTTACTGGAGCAGATATAGAAAATATGGTATATACAATGATTTGTTAGTTTGTCCGCAATCGACTCCTAAACTACTGAACCGATTTTAATCAAATTGTACACACTGTGTACAGTTTCATTCAACTTGAAAGATAGGATAGTTTATATCTTAATTTATTGCGAATTATTTGTTTATTAACAAAGTATCGGGCTGATTGTAAGCCACAGCAATACGTGGCGGGGCACCCCTATTTATATCTGTAGTCTGTTAACAATCTGATTCTTCAATGACCACTCGTATTTGTAACAGGTGAATCAAGCTGCTTTACAAGCAGCAATACTTAATTCAGAAAATGTAACTATGAAACATCTGGAGTATGCAAGAGACAAAGTTCTTATGGGTCCAGAAGGAAAATCTAAAATCCCTGATGAAGAAACTAATCGTATTACAGCATATCATGAAGCTGGTCATGCATTAGTTGGATTATATACAAAAGAGGCAGATCCACTTCACAAAGTAACAATTATTCCACGAGGACCTTCTTTAGGACATGTAATATATAAAACTTTATTTTATATTTAATCACGTATTATTAATAATAATTAATAATGTTTTATTATACTATTTATTTATTGTAGACTTCATATATTCCTGAAAAAGATAATTACCTTACAACCAAATCACATCTATTGGCTAGAATGGATTGTTTGATGGGAGGACGTGCAGCTGAAGAATTAATTTTTGGTCCTGACAAAATTACTACAGGAGCAGCTTCAGATTTTCAAGTATATATATATTAACATTTATATATTTTATTATTCACATTTTATTAATAATTATATATTTGTTCTTTTTTTTTTTTTTTTGTAGAATGCTACAAAGATAGCAGAAACTATGGTACAAACGTATGGAATGTCTGATAAAGTTGGAGTTAGGATGTACGATTTACAAAAGAATTCGAATTATGCTCCTAGTACTAATGAAATGCTTGATAACGAAATTAAAAGACTTTTACAAGTGAGTATAAATAAAATCATGATTTTTCATATATGTATTAGAAAATTGATAAAACATATATATTATTCTTTTTTATATATATTTCTTTTAGGAATCATATGAACGTGCTAAGAACATATTGAAATTGCATGCTAAGGAACACAAACAATTAGCTGATGCTTTAATCGAATATGAAATATTAGATTCTGAAGAGATAAAAGCTGTAATAAATGGAAAAAAAATAAGAAATGAAACTCCAAATAAAAAAGCAACAATTATAGATGTACCTAATAAGAATGTACCTAATCATCCAACTAATACGGGACTCTTAGATGTACCTAATAAAATGTAATTAATAATATTCTATACTAAAGTATAACTTTTGTTGTGAAAATTGAAACAATTTATAGACACAATGTACCATATTTATCACGTGGATGTAAATTTAAGAAATAATTTCGTAAAATTAAAACAAAACAAAAAAAATTCAAATGTTAACAACAATTTTCCTATAATTCCATATCTCAAAGTAAAAAAAAAAAAAACAAAATTCATTATGCTTAAATATTTCTTGAAAACGTTCACATCATTCGTCGTAATCCACTTTTTATTGAATTCTTTTTTTTATTTTCTTCTTGCTTTTCTTTCAAACACTACACTTAATATCCCTGAGACTTTATAATTGGTAAATAAAATTAAAAAAAAAAAAAATTACATTGAAATTATTATTATTATTATAAATATTTTGGAAAACACACAAATGATTTAGATAGAATTTTTTTTTAAGTAACACTAAATCAATTATAAAGCCAATTGAATACTCATATTAATTATCCTAGTATATTCTATTTAACCACAGAATATTGTGGATGCATAATAATAGATAATATATAAGAAGTTGTGTATTATATTTCAAAAAATTTGTGACTACTTTTTTATGTTATCACATAATAATAATAATAATAATAGATGATATTATTCACCACTTTCAATCTGTCAACACTAAATAACTTGATCATTAGATATTTAATAACGTGCATTAACTTTTGTCAAGTTATTATTGTTCTGTCTTGTATTAGATTATCTTTAATACAATAAAAGGAATGTTCTCTTTTAGAACAATACCGTCAGAGGATATTATAAAAATCATTTTTGACAATTTATATTTGATTTTTCAATACACATGCTTTATATTTGAAAAAATACCTTTTTAAATAGTTTATATATTAATATCGAACATATAATGTACTTACTTACCTACATTTATTGACAAAAATGAATAATACTTAGGCCATACAATGTTAACATATTATTTATCATTGTATATAGATATTATAAATTATACAAAATTATAATACATATATATATATTTATATGTATTTTATAATTTGTATATTTTTCTTACCTATTCTCTGATACTATAGTATATATATAGTATACATACTATATATACTATATCTTCTTCTTAATATGTATAAATTACGTGTCACGTTGTTTGTTCGCAATGGACTCCTAAACTACTGAACCGATTTTAATCAAATTGTGCACACTGTGTGCAGTTTCATCTAACTTGAAAGATAGGATAGTTTATATTTCAATTTATAATCAAATTATTTGTTTATTAACAAAGAATCATGATTATCTCTGTTAGTTCGACGAGATTCTAACAGATTTTTGCAATAAACCTCATTTTTACATATATTTATGATTAGGAGAATATGTATCTACCAAATTTTCTATCAAAATGTGACCGCTGGTATTTTTAATTAAATTATTGTTAATTAATTTTTGCGAAAAAATTCATTCACTTAGTTTTTTAAATAAAATATCATCCACTTTGCGACAATATATTATTGGTAAAGGACTTTGAAAAGGAATAGGAATAGTAAAATGGACACAAAATACATCGTTGTTATAATATTTTTTGTTTGTTTATAACATTTTCTAAAAAAAAGACTTTTTATTTACAAAGAAAAGCGAATAACAAGCGATTATTAGAAAACTCACACAATCGGAAGAGACCGCTTTTTTTCCAATTGTGTTTGATTTTATTATTCGCTTGAACATTCGACGGTACAAAAGATCAAGGAAATTTCATTCTTTTTTTTTTCATTTATCATTTAATATTATTATTATTATTATTATTATTTATTATTATTATTATTAATATTAATTAATATTATCATTATCATTTAATATTATTATTATTATTATTATTAATATTAATTATTAATATTAATTTTATTATGGGTTTTTTTTTATTCTGTTATATACTTTTTTTTTGTAATTTTTTTTT